GAGGATGGATACGATGGGAATCAAGTGACAAAACGCAGCAGCCCCTGCACCGCTGACCTGGACCTGCGGGGCCTGCGCAAGCGCCGACGGCAGAATTGAAACTCGAGGGCGCCGCCCCCGCGGACCTTAGATACCTTGTACTATTTTAGGGGTTGTTCTGCATTTATCTTTTCGATCTGTTTGCATACTCCAGAGGCCTTTTTTTTTTTTTTTTTTCCCAGTCTTGTCCAGTGCTTTATCTCATGTAATGCTACCAACTGTGAGATTAAAACGGTAATAAAAACCATTCCGTACGTCCGCGGCGCCTCTGCCCCGAGCCCCCAGCTCATGGGCAGGTGGATTCTCTAGTGTCTGCTGTGGCGTTGGGCATGGTGCTGACAGGCTCTCTCTCGCCTTTCCCTGGCAGGGGCTCAGAACAAACCTGCAGAACGGGCCTTTGGGGATGTCCTTGTCCCCTAGGCGGGCGCTGGGCCGCCCTACAGTGCCAGCTCCCCCAGGAGTGGAGGCATCTCGTACTTGCCGTGCGATGGGTTTGAAATAGGGCCCCAGCAGCCATCAAGACCTACTCAGTGTCAAGTGCACAGGTTGTGGCCAGCAGCTCCTTGCTGCCTCTGGATGCGGCTGCTCCGCAGGGATGCGTCGCAGCTGGACTTGCCCCCAGGCCTGGCACCCCGCAAGCTGCCGGCGGGTGAGCTGCTTTCCTTCACGAGCCTGGGAAGATTAAAGTCATGTAGGAGAAACRTGCACGAGAACACAGCCTTAGAGAGGGTGGCGAGCGCGCTGCTGGCAYGGGGGAGATGTGCTGGGTTTAACCCCACGCATGGGAGGCATGGTAGTGCTTCCCATGGCATTTGGGAGCCTCCCTGTCCCCAGCGCTCGCCCCCGCCAATGCCGATGGCCTGAGAGGGAGCCCTGGAGCCCATCTGTTCCCAGGGCAATTCCAGCTGTGGGAGCCCTGGCTGCTTCTGCTTCCTTGCGCTCGGCCCAGGCTGCCACTGCTCCCCGCCRGCCGCCTTGGGGCTGTAAAGCTAAGTGTGGTCTGGGAGGCCTCTCTGGCGTGTACGTGCTTGTGTGTGTATGTGCATGCATGTGCGTGTGCATGCTTGTACACGTGTGAGCACGCATGTGCATGCTTGTACACGCGTGTGTGTATGTGTGCACGCTTGTGCATGTGTGTATGGGGATGTGTGTGCACGCATATGCCCAGGTGCTCACAGCTGTTGCTCGGCGCTCGCTCCCACCACCCGGGCTGCCTTCTTCCCAAGGGATGCTCCAATGACACCTGCAGCGTCGGCAACCCCTGAGCACCCCGGGGACACTCTGGGGACACTTTGGGGACCTGGTGCGGATTCCACCCCAAATGCTCGGGAGGCCACCCCGAGGCCCTTGGGGCCCCCCGGCTGCGCGCGCAGATTGACGCGAGGGCCGTGAGAAGGTCCTGAGGAAGCAGCTGGACCCCGTGGAGCCCCGGACGTTGCTGTGCGTGGATCCAACTGCGCCTGTGCCCCGCTGGGTTCGTTACGTGCATGAGAAAAAGTGAATGCTCCGCTGCACGTGTGCTGGAAGGAGGAAGACACCAACCTGGTGCGTGTGCTCAGCAAAAGAAGTCGGTGGATCGCACAAAGGAGGRTTCCGCACATGCCCATAGGTGGCCAGAGGCTGAGCGTGCGCGTTGTCTCTCGCGTGGTCCATGCCTGGGAGGTTTACACCAGCTCGCACCAGTACAGAGCGAGCGCAGGCGCGGGGCGCTCGGCCGGGCTCAGTGCTACCATCCCGTGAACAGACGGGAGTACTGCAACGAAGAGGGGTTGGCCCGTGTGTGATGCCAAGCCCCTGGCTCAGGGCTGCCCACCGGAGACACGCGCACACGGATGCGTGTGGAGGCTGCACGATAACCCAGAGCGGCTCTGGGGCCACGTGGGCATGGAGGCCTGGGGAGGCTGCACGAACACCCAAAGTGCCCCTGGGGCTGTGTGAGCATGGAGACCCAAGGAGGCCACACAAATCCCCAGGAACCTCCAGGGTCCTTTCTTCTGCAGCTAATACTCGGCTTCTTCAACCCGTACTAATTATCTTCCTATTTCCCTCAGAATTCTCTCGTTTTGCCACTAATATTTTAGTCTTCTCCTTGCAATAATGCGCTTGAATGCTGCCTATTAATTCTCCTTGTATTCCCCCAGCTATTCCCTTCCTCTCTGGCTAATACTTCCCTCCTACTTTCTGCAATAAGAAAATTCCTAATTCCCTCATAATTTGCTTCCACTCCCACTACAAATTTTAATTCTAGTGTCACAATAAAACTGTTGACCCCACATAACCATTCTCTTTCTATTTCCCCAATTCTTCCCYTCCTTTCCATTTAAAATTCTCTTTGGCTTGCCATAATACTTATCTTCCTATTTCCCTTAGAAATCTCTCCCTCTCCCCCAACAACTTTGTTTCCTATTCTCGCAATTATTCTGTTGCACAYCACAGAAGAATTCTCTTTGTATTCCCTCAGAATTCCCTTCCTTTCCAGCTAATATTTCTCTTCTTCTTCCCCTAAAGATAATCTTGCTAATTCCCTCATAATTCACTTGAACTCCCACTAAGAATATTCCTAATATTCTTGCAAAAATTGCTTTGTACACCACATAATAATTCTCTTTCTGTCCCCCCAGTGACGCCCTTCTTCTCCAGCCAGGACCTCTCTTCTCCTTATGGCAATAATTAGCTTCCTAATTGCCTTCACAATTCTGTTCTTCCACCACTATTCAGTTTATTCATAGCCTTGCGTTAATTCCCTTGCACGCCACATATTAATTCTCTTTGTATTCCCTCTTCCTTCCTCTCCTGTGCTAACCAGCTTCAAGGATGGCAGTGCACATGTTGAGGCCTAGAGGGAAAACAAAAAAGGCCAAGGCCTCCTGTTCACCTGAGCTRCATCCAGGCAWGAATGCATAAAAGGGGAGCTTTTATGCCTGCTGAGCTGAATTAAGGTGCTGGCAGTGGCCGCCTTGGGCCTCCTCATGAGCTGGTGCCTCTTCCACCTTGTGCTCCTTTCTGTTCTTCTTTGCTGCTGCGCCTAGGAACGCGAGTGTCGGAGTTGACGGGAAGCCGAAGCAATTTCAACCCTAACAGTTCCCTTTGCTTTGCCAGTGGCTCTCATCTCATCAGCACTCCTGCCAGCGGGCATCCTCGTGGTAGGGCATGTGAAAGAGCCAAATGATTGAGGACCTGGGGAGCCTGCTCATCGGTACCCCCAGGTACGCCACACTCTCCTGCTAATATTTCTCTTCCTCTTCCTTCAGTCCTTATCTTCCTATTTCCCTTTCCCTCCCCTGCCTATTTCCCTCATACATGTCTTGCACTAATGCTAATATTTTTATTGCTATTCTTGCAGTAATTCTTTTGCAACCCTCAGAAAGAACTCTTTTTGTATTCCCCCAGTGATTGCCTTCTTCTCCGGCTCATTTTTCTCTTCCTCTCCTGGTAAGAATTAGCTTCCTAATTCCCTCACAATTTTCTTCTTCTCCCTCTAATAAATGTATCACTGTTGCTGCAATTATTCTCTTGCATACCTCAAAAATAGTCTCCATGTATTCCCCCAGTTATCCTGTCTTCTCCAGCCAAAATTTCTCTTCTTCCTGTAATAATTTGCTTCCTATTCCCCTCAGATTTCTCTTCCACATCCACTTAGAATATTATTTCTAACCTCACAACAATTTTGTTATATGACACATAATAATTCTCTGGGTATTTCCACAGATAGTACCTTCCTCTCTGGCTAATACTTCCTTTCTTCTTCCCTTAATAATTATCTTCTCATTTCCCTCTTAAATTTCTTCCTCTCCCACTAATATTTTTATTCCTATGCTCACCGTGGTTCTCTTGCACCCCACATATTATTTCCCTTTGTATTCTCACAGTTATTTCCTTCATCTCCAGAAAATACTTCTCTGCTTCCTGTCATGATTATCTCCCAATTTCCCTCTTAAATCTCTTTCTCTCCTGCTGATTCTTTTATTCCTATTCCCACAAGAGTTCTCTTGCACACCACATAATACTAATCCCTGTATTTCCCCAGGTATTCCCTTCCTCTCTAACTACAAGTCCCCTCGTTCTTCCAGTAGTTCTTATCTTCCTGTTTCCCCGAGAATTCTCTTATCTCCCACTAATAATGATGCCTTTTTTTTCACAATCATTGTCTTGCAAAACACATCACCATTCTATTCTCCAAGTTATTCCCTTTCTCTCGGACTAAGACACCTCTTCTCCCTCCCGGASTCATTATCCTCCTATTTCTCTCAGAAATCTCTTCATCTCCCACTCACAATCTTTTGCCCATTCTCTTAGAAATTCCGGTGCATACGATGTAATAATTCCCTTTGTATTCCACAAAGGATTTGCGAAAATTTTCTTGCACAGCACATAATACCCTTAGTATTCCCTCAGTTCTGCCCTTCCTCTCTGTCTAATTCTGTTCTTCCTCTTCCCATCATTATTATTTTCCTGTTTCTCCGAGAATTCTCCTACTCTCCAGCAAATACTTGTTTTCCTTCTCTGCCAATAGTTCTCTTGCA